CACCTTCACCATCGCTTATTTCCTAATCACGAGCCGACTGAACTTTTTTTCCGGGACGACCCAATCAACGTACTCTCCGGGTGGAGATGGACCACTATCGCCTCCTCAGCGCTCATTTCGGAGACTGCAAGGGCGCCAAGCATATCCTTCAGATACTGGAATGCGCGTCACCATCCATCGACAAGGAGGAAGAGGACTTGTTCGCCGCGGTCGAAAAACGGGGAGAGCGCATGTTTTTTTCTCAACGCAAGCTGGAAGCATATTTTCGAGGCACCAAAGAGCCATATGACAGAATCCTTGACGAAATTCTCGATTGTCAGTGCAAGCTATGCCGTACTCAGTGCGGCGAGCCGCTCGACGCATTGAAGCGTTGCAAAAACAAGAGCAAGGAAAACAATAACTGGATATTAGTGCCCATCTTGATCTACTTGGGCAAGTTTCATTTCGTCTACCCTTGGCTCAGGGCCATTACAGCCGACCACATCACGAGCAAGGGAAGGATACGACAGATCGAGTGCAAGGATGTGGTGGAATTCCGAGCCCACAAATTATTCGATCCGAAAATGGACATGGAGAGGAATCTTTTTCGATTCGCGTATGATCGAGTCTGGTGCATGTTCAACCCGGTGAGGTTTGAGATTGACGCTCAAGGCTGGGTTGTGCGACAGGACTTGCCAGACTGGGCCAGGTTTCCTTACCAACAAAACGAAAACGAACTGAAATTGCCGCAAGGGCAATCGTCAACGGTAACATACGCCGAGATCCCGGACGAATACGTCGACCCATCTGTCGATCACCGGATGAGCGCCTACCCCGACTCAATCAAAGGGGACAACATAATCAAGCCTAAAGTATATCGCGTCGTGCTTAAGGCGGTCAAAGTTTCAGACGATAAGAAAGAAGGAATGCAAAATGAAACCCTCAGCTTGTTGGCGGTACACAAAAATCATAAAGGAGCGGACAACATCATCACCCTTCTGGCCCTCTACACCTGGAGAGGCAGCATCCACTATGTATTCCCATTTGTGAAAGAAAATCTTGCCGACCTTCTTTCCAAGGGGTATACCCGAGATGCCCGGAACGAAATCTCCCAGAGTGCACTCTCTCTACCAGATATTTGGCTCTGGAGAGAGGTGATAGGTGTGGCAAACGCCCTCAAGTTCATTCATCAAGGGATCTCGAATCCCTTTCCCGGGGATCCCGGGAAGGTGTTTGCTTTCCACTTCGACCTTAAGCCAGAAAACATTCTGGTCAAATGGGACCCCGACCCGAAAAAGCGAAGGCTTCAAATTACCGATTTTGGTCGCTCTCAGATCCGGCTGCTTGATGAGGGGGATGAACAATCTAGCTCGTTGTATCCCGGCAATCTCAAGTATATGGCCCCGGAAGCATGGATTAGGCAAAACGACACCCCCGGCGGTAATGGTCCTCAAGATCTCAGGGTGCTTCAAACCTACGATGTCTGGTCTCTGGCTTGCATTATGCTCGAAGTTCTCATCTACCTCGGTGCCGAGCATGGACAGAAGGGATGTGGACCCGAAGCGCTGAAGGAATTCGACGAAGCACGCAGGAAGGAGATGCCTCCTGTGACATTCTTCACTCTTCAGGGGACAAAATCCCTGGTCATTGACAAGGTGCAGCACATTCGATCATGGCTCGCCGTCTCCGAGCCCAACTTCCGAGGCGATCCACACAGCGAGTACATTGATAGACTCAAGGATCTCTTGACAAAAATGTTTGCCTTTGGCATGACCGATCGAGCGGGTTCCGAAGAAATCGTCGGGGTTCTTGAAGAGGCGAGCAAGGAGTATAGCCACTCAAGAAGCGAAACTGACGCCCTCCATTCGAAAATCAGACGGGAGTTTCAACACGAACAGCGCGGATTCAAGGAGATGGGGTGGTACAACGAGAAAAGTCTCGTCTCGTTTCTTAGAATGTACAGTGGACACCCGGTCTGTTTCGCGAGCTGTCTTCTAATACACCTCTAGGGAAGATATTCAAGTCCAAGTATCCGTCACCTCAAATGACGGAAACGCAGTTGAGAAGTACGACCACCGAAATTGCCGTATCCAGCTTTTGTACATGGAAGAAGGAGCAGGCCATGCAGGAAGGTTCTTGATGAAATGGGGACTTAAACACGACCAGACGGAGCAAATAAGAATGTTACCGATCAGTGAGTGTTTTCCTCTCGGGGCTTCAGCTCAGTCTTCCAGAACTCTACTTACTCCTGGGCTAGTGGATGCAACCAGAACTCAGATCATCCCGCACTTTTACCAAACCAGAACAAGCGAGTTTCATTATTGCATGCTGGTAATCTTACTTGAGCATTTTCCGCCTCAACGATGGCAAGTAAAGATCGGGTTCAGACACGGAGCAGGTGAGTTGACCCCCTCCTCCGCGCTTGCTTTTCACCTCGCTCTTGAGAAGAAAGCTCACGATAGTACTTTATCAACTAGAAGCCCAGGCATTTCAAGGCGCGCTCCTACACTATAAAATCATGCCGAATTCCAAAATGTAGGTGTTTCACAAACCTTCATACTATTTTAGAGCTGCGCTGACAGAGGGTCAGGTATGTCCCTGAAGCAAATTGGACGATGTGGCAGAAGAAAAAGACGTTTCGATCTAGCCAAAAAGAAACACGTCAACTGGACCAGGACCTCCATTTTGAGTTCTGGGAGAGAGACGGACCAAACTACTACGGCTCTCACCTGCCCATTGTACCATCCTCGCTCCGGTCTGTGACATTTAACCATCCTCAATCTGATGAATCCTGGAAGATCAGCTAACAACCTCAACCTCCAGACCACGGGCACTAGGGAATTACACCGTCATAGCCATCTTCAGGAGGGGAATGCCCCTTCTACTTCTTCCCCGTAAGGAACTTCGTATGTTATGCAATGTATATCACTATCTTGCTAATGGCATTTTGGCTTCTAGTCAACACAAACGACAAGCGCTTCAAACACATTGGGCCAAACACAATCGGCGTGGAGTACAATCAAGGCGATAACTTCAAAAAGTTTTTTCTCCGCTCGGTGAACAAGCAATGCCGCGCATGTCAAAGCGGGAACAAGTCGTGCACATGTGACAAGACACCGTGGGACGATCGGAGTACCTTTTCAACGCTGGACGAGCCCGCTATTCCCTTGGAACTGACTCTACTCAATTTGAGTCGTAGCGATCAGACGGGGCGCTTGCAGGGGATTATCAAATCTCATGAGCTGCTGAATGCCCAGTTCGTTTTGCAGCCAGATAACATAAGCAAAGGTTAGTCGGTTGACTTTGCGTATTTCTGTTTCTAGAGACTGATTTGGATTCCACAGAGGTTGCGTGTTTTAGGCAAGCGACTGGCATATGCTGGAAATGAGAATTATGCTTTTTAAGTAGTGTGATCAACCATCTTCAGGGACGGGAAGCGATGCGGGAAAGGGCCAGGTCGTCTTCAAGCGAATCAACTTTACCCTATTCTCTAAGGAGCACCTGATGTTGCATACTGGGCCCACTTTGGAGTGGCCCGGTTACGGGTGTTGATCTACACCAACAACGGCCTAGCGCCTACATACTAGAAAGCGGGCATTTAACTGTCATGAGCAGAGTTTTCCGCCCTGCTTTCTTCCTTCTACAATACATCATATTCTACCCTCTTTTTGACCTCGTTAAACGCAACACCTGAACCGGTCTCAATTCGTATGTCCATACCAGAAGTACGATCCTAAGGGTAGCCCCTTTTGCTGTATACTGAATAATAAAAACCCTGAGGGTGGTACTGATACCTTTGCCCGGGTTAAGTAAGTTGCTTCCTGTTTGATTATGAGTCTTTTGACAATTACCTAAAAATGACAGAGAGATACTGACAGTCCTGCAGATCTTACATGTTCCGAAATCACGACCTATTTATCTGATGCCTGTGTTGCTGGAAGGCGTGTAAGACAGAAAGTGAAACTCTAGAATATAAAGAATTAGATTTATGTATTAAAGAGGTATCGGTGGGGGAGTACTGGATGACATGTGAGCAGTGAGACCAGGTCTGCGGTCAGAAGTTCCGGCAGGTGGTGTTGACAACTGGTTTTGTTTTTTGGTATTGTGTTGCCGGATGCCCTACTCTACAGACATTTAGGTTAGAACACCTTACTAATGGCCATGGGGCAGTCCCTCAGCACTTATCAGACCCCTGTCTCGCCTTGATACTCTACCTGTTACTTTATTAACACAACAACATTTCTAACCCCTCACAGGTTCCCCGGCGCTGACTTCCTTCCAAACCCCGTCGACGCAACTCTGCCACCCACAGAACTCAACTTCCCGGACATGGACCTTTCACCACCCTCGGGAGCGATTTCACATCCGACACCCTCTTTTCCAAGAACAACACAACGAATCTTAACAACCATTCCAACACCACCGGCCCCACTACATCCAACACATTTATCTTCCCCACACCAACTAGCACACCTACCACATAAGAGACCTCCATTCCCTCCACGAGCACCTTAAATTCCCCCCTTTCTTCCTCCTCAGGCTTAAGAACCAAGCCGCCATGCCACCCCCTCCCTTCATCATTGGAAGAGATATTCCTGCACCTTGGCAACTGCTGCCTCCAAACAACGAACGCTCGTCTCTAAGACGAAGCTTCCCAGCTCAGAAAAAAACACGCACAGTTACAAGCTCAGGTAGACGAACTTCGGAAGCGGCTATCTCCACCAGAGAATATGCTACAGGATTTGTTGTACCTGCCAGGAGTGCAAGAGAGAGAGATCGGTAAGGAGGTGGTGAGGCGGGTGTTTGGTGTTTTTTTTTTTTTTGGGGGGGGGGGGGGGGTAAGGGGATTTGAGGGGGATTTTTCATGGGGGGTGTTAGGGCGCCATCTTACATAGACTTGCCATGGCAATGGTAAACCAACTAAATGAACGACAACTCCCGGGTAGTCCATCATACCTCGGACCCCCAGCCAGGCTATGAACCACATTCCAGGTCCTCAATCTCAACAAACAAGTATAGCTTCTCCCGTAGCGCAATTGGCTAGCGCGCCAGACTGTTAATATGGAGGTTCTAAGTTCAAGCCTTAGCGGAGGAGTTTCCGTCATTTTGCTGGTGGTTTCTAAAGGAGAATAGCAAATCTCCCAAGTTCTATGGATTATCCCTAATCCCACATTGTCTCCTCATCAGTTGCCCCATCCGTGGTGGCTTCCCTCTTAGCTCCCTTTCAATCTTCATCGCGAGGAACGAGGAGCACACGAGATACGAGCTTTCCAGTCAAGCAGTCCGTATTCCCTGATGTAAGGGGCTTTGGTACAAGAGTGTCAAGAGTGGCAGAGGCAACAAAGGTTAGGTGGTTATTGTGTGCAGCACTAATCTCTGGCTCGCTGCGAGCCAGTTCCTCCTTATGTACGCACGGTTGAGGGCCCGTGCGCCCCTGAGCCCCCTGCCTTTAGCGGGTATCAACACGGGTCACGTGCCCCTCACGTGACGCCCTCCCCTGAAGTCCCTGAACGACCATAACACCTGACGTGAACTCCATGGTTTGCCTTTTCTTCAAGAAGCTTAACTGCGAATCCGGTCAGCTATTTGTCTAATGCACAAGAACTTGTATCAAATACTTGACTAACAGTATTCCTGAGTGAGATCTTGCAAATCTTGTAGTGCATACACTTCGTCAAGCTCTGTATTAACGAGGTCCTAGTTCCGCTCCTCGTTCCAGTCAATCGCCAGCGGATGGATGCCGTTCGCGCTGTCTTTGAGGGATGCAACTAAAGTCTTCACTGCGTTACTATCCATGGCATCTATGGTCTTACTAGGTTCGAACTCCTATTGATAAACGTCGACCTGGAGGCTTTCGGTGCCCATGAGCAACAGGCAAATAGCGAAACATGTCGGCAGCCAGTCCTTCCTTTGGGGTCGAAGAAAGCGTTCTTGGATGACCAAAAGAAGTTTCTGGAGCGTTCGTTCCAGCAAAACGCTTAAACAGAGGCTGGCGTTGTTATGAATGTACGTGTGTAAATCACAGTGGAAGATTGTCGATCCAAGGTTCTTGCCGGATATGCTACAACGGATGGGGCTAGGACAGTGGGTGGACCCACCGACAGCCTTTCAGGGAGCTGGACTTGGTCGTCCCCGTTGGCATTCAGGTCGCTATCTCCGTCGAGACCTTCACCGATGTCGTCGCCGCCTTCAATGTGGAGGCTCGAGGGCGACGTGGAGGCGATACTAAACCGAGAGAGGTTCGACCCGGAACCCCGGCGCGTGGCGAGAGCGCCCAACACATCTCCGACCGATGCTTTAGACTTCACCGCAGCCTTGCCCGCGACGAGTGGGAGCCGGGCGAGCATTTCGTCCTTGATGCTTTGCAGCGCCGCGATCAAGTGCTGGTGCCTGACAGATCCCGAGTCAGCTCCCATGATTACTTCTCTATTGTCTGACTCACATTGCACTCGTGGTCGACAGGTGCGCCAGGCACAACGCCAACTGCAGGGACGATTTGGCATGCTCGACGTCCTGCAGCAGGCCCTGGACCACGTCGCTGCGGAGCACGAAGAGACACGACCTCCCGGCGAGGGGGATCAATTCCCGGACCTATCGTAGCTTCCCGCTGCGGAGGCGCTTGTACTTCTACAGCGCGGCCAACGCCTCGTCGCGGACGATGCCCAGCTGCGTGTTAACAAACTACAGGAAGCCCTGACGCTGCTCGTCGTTCTCGATGACCATGTCACGTATGTGGGGGTGCGTCTCGACAATGTCGTTCAGGACCGAACTTATCTGGTTCCCGTCAGCCGAATGCCCTTGCTGAGACTAAAATAACAAAAAATGGCTGCCGTACGTGTCCGACCGTCTGCAGCTCGTTGTAGTAGCGGCTCCAGTCGGCCGGTGCGGAACGTGCCTTTGCGATGAGCCTGCAGAGCTTGTTGATGACATCGTCGATGGCTAGAACGCTTGCCGTCGCGCCGATGGGCTCCATGGCGGCACCATACAACCAACCTACTCCGTAGAGCGTCTCCTCATGAACCAAGGTAGGTGCTCATTGCTCCTCGCGAGTCTGGCGGAGAATGGTGAACCAGGCGCGAGCGTTGACGCCTGATATCATCACCAGCATCCCCTACACGCCCGATGGAGAGCCTTGTCGCATATCACATATTACTCTTGTCTCGCTCGCCAGAGCATTGTCCAACACTGCTTCAGCTTCAATCGGCCCAACCACCTCGGGTCCCCAAACATGGGACCTCATCTACAAATGGATCAGCGACTGCAGTGCCAACCACCCCGAATGCCACAGAAGCCGGATCGACGACTACATCCCCAGCCGAATCCTAGAGCTCAATCCCTCGGACAAACCCTACCGCCTGGGCCTGGCCACCGAAGTCCCCCCAGACACCCGCTACATAACCCTCAGCCATGCTGGGGCACCCTCGCCGGCCGAACTGATGTCCTCATGCTCACCCGCAGCACTCTTGCGCAGCTGCGCGCCCCGCGCCCCGTCGCATCCCTTCCCCCAACCTTCCGCGACGCCTTCGAGATCGTCTCCCGCCTTGGCCTGCGCCACCTCTGGATCGACCGTCTCTGCATCGTGCAGGACTCCCCCGCCGACTGGGCCGCCGAGGCAGCGTTGATGCACGACATCTACAAGCACACGTACCTCAACGTCTCGGCGCTCGGCGCGTCCAGCGACCAAGGCGGCTGCTTGCTGAGTGGGGGGGAGCATGTTGTTGTGTATTCCGATTGCAAGCTCACCATGCCGGGGCATAAGTTGGTTGCTATATCTGGTCTCGCAAAGGACATGCAGCAGCGGCTGGCAGAGATAGGCGCGTCGAGCACAACATATCTGGCGGGGTTGTGGGAGTGTGGCCTGCCCAACTCGCTGCTTTGGCATAGGCGGGAGGGGCATCTTCATCCTGCGCCGTCTGCCGTGTATCGGGCCCCATCATGGTCGTGGGCGGCCGTTGATGGGGGCGTATCTGCGATTAGCGCCGTCCCCGGCTGGGGCGGGGACTCCGCAGCTATATTGCCGATGTTCTACACGCCGGGACCACGGCGAGTGGTATCGACGAGCTGGGCCCCGTCAGTGGCGGTGTGGTGACTTTGCGGGCACCCCTTGCGAGAGTAACGCAGGGTGGGCGAGTTCTGAAACGTGTGTACAACTGTTACGGGCTGAGGGTGGTGTTATTTACATCCCTAAGTGGCGTTGATCGAGATGGTAAGCCTGCGGAGCTTTGCCGGGAAAAAAAGGATGTGAAGCCTCGGCGGCATGGGCTGTTCGATGGTTGCGATGTATTTCCAGACTGGGAGGATAGCTGCAGCCTTGAGCGGCCCCTTTTCTGTCTGCCGCTTGAGGCGGCGAGTAGAATGCTGGACTTGGATGGGTCTAGCGAGACTTTCACGCGTTGGCTGAGATATCGGGGGTTGGTTTTGGCTCGGAGCGAGGAGAACGTCAGTCCCGAGGCGTACCGGAGGGTTAGCTACTTTTTCATTGACTTTAGTTCCGAGTACTGCGATGTAGTAGAAAAGTTCTTCGGTGATCCGCCTCGCACGCAGATAGACATCATCTGAATGGGCTCAGGCGTAGTTCCGTCGCGGCAAGTGTCTCGTCGAGATAGGCAGGCTAGAGGCAAGAGAAATGTATCGGGTGATGGAATGCCGATGAGATTGACGTCGTCCAGCGGCTCAACCATCTGACTTTTGACATCTTTGGCGATTTGGCCTTTGCTAAGTCGTTTGAGCGCCTCCAACGGTCCCAGTATCACGGATGGATCGCCTTGATTTCGAAACCTAAAGCACAACGGGAGCCCTCATCTCAACGCGCTTCTACTGTTTGAGAAGTGGCCAAGCGGGGTGGCTTGGGGAATAGGGCCAGAAAGTTATCAGACTAAGACGGTTTTGAATTTACCACTTACTTTCCAAATACTGTATATAGAAGCTGCCCGTCATGTCAACTGCCCTCTCTCGGTATTGCGAAGCGACTAGTACCCGACGAAGCTGCCAGAAGGATGATGTTCCGAACTCCTGTATGATCGATGCAATCAAGGCCCGCTCTTGAGAAATAACGGAAGTGAAAGCCTGTCCAACGGATCAGCCAACTGTTTCTCGCTGTACGCAAACAAGGGAAAACGAACTCACTCTTAAGATGCACCATGAATAAGCCTATGGAGAGATGCTTAGCTAGTCTATTATACCCCTGATGCGGCTCTGCTAGTCTTACCATTTTCTCGGATTGCTGACGGCGGCCTGATTTACGGTCTAGTGGCGCAGACTGTTGGTTCACTGGCGGTGAAACGGATCCACAGAAACGCTGCTATTCAGTCAGTCATCGCTAGATTAAGCGGGATACATGAAACTCGCAGTACAAACTGGGCAACTTAAATATTGGGCTGGCTTGGACACGTCACTAGCGGATGCCACATGATGTCTGTGGCCGATTCATAGGGCCTTACAGGGTTTTTGAGATTCAGAGAGATCCCTCGACACAAGCAACTTAGGGACCAATATTGGCACCAAGGACGAGAATCAGGCTCGGCTCGGCGCTCCGAGAACCAATCCCTGGCCCCCAAAGGTGTGGAGAGCTGTCTGCCGGTCGCCCCGCCGCGAATCTATTAATGATTGTGAGAGCTGTGGCTCTGATCCTCAAAGTAGTCGCCAACAAGCCCAGCTACAGTCTTTACAACCCTCTCCATGTCATCCCTATTAAAATTATAGGGAGGTGAGATAATAATGTGGTCGCCTTGTACCCCATCCACAGTCCCGCTACCAGGATATACGTTGATTGAGTATTTCCTAGTTAGCCCCAGTTCGCTGATCTCCATGGCCACATGAGTCTCAGCTGGAAATGGTGCTGAGGTCTGTTTGTCGGCGACGAACTCGATGCCCCAGAAGAAACCACGGCCCCTTATATCACCTCCATTGGGGTGATGCCTAAGTTCCTCCTTCAACCGCTTCTTAAGTAATAATCCTAAATTACGAACGTTATTAAGGAGCTTTTCCTCTTGTATAATCTGCTGTACCTCGAGGGCGGCCACACAACCCGCAGGGTGACCCTGGTAGGTGTGGCCATGAACAAAGCCCTGTTATACGCACTAGCACTAAGCATGA